TCACATATTGTCAATAAAAATATTTTGTCATCTTGTTTAATTATATATAGGTATCAGATGATGTATATATTAAACATATTATACATAATATATATATCACATGATATAGCATATATTTGCATACCCCGGTCTCCACGACAAAATTATAATTTCTGTAAGCATATGTTTTGCATATGTCACTTGGCAGTAGTTAAGATGGTGTTAGACGCAGTTTCACATCAGGTTTAATCTTTTATGTTTATTTGTATATTTCTAAATGAGAATATTCTAGAAGTAGCTTGTGTTAAGGATGACAACCTGTTAAAGAGCTAGGGAGTTTGAAGAATTTACATTTATTTTAGGCATTTGTAGTTTTAGATAATGGTAAAGCCAGAGAACATGTCTTTATATTTGGTAATCCAGATATAACAGATAACAATGTTAGATCCAATCCAATGCTGAGCTGAATTTTTTTTTTAAGATTTTATTTATTTATTCATGAGAGACACACAGAGAGGAGAAAGAGAGGGGCAGAGACACAGGCAGAGGGAGAAGCAGGCTCCATGCAGGGAGCCTGATGTGGGACTTGATCCTAGGTCTCCAGGGTCAGGCCCTGGGCTGAAGGCGGCTCTAAACCACTGAGCCACCCGGGCTGCCCTAAGCTGATTCTTTAAAACACTATTTCTGTTTGAGTTGCTAACAACACTATATACCCACATTTAGTATAGAGATTACTTAAAATGCAAAATATGTTTAAAAAATTTTTTCAAAATTGCAAGAAAAATAGAATATAAAGCAGTTTTTTTTTTTGTTTGTTTGTTTGTTTTGTTAGAATATACCAGTGGTTCTCAAAAATGTGGCCTGTAGACCTAGGAGTCCCTGAATCTACAAGGTCAAAACTGTTTTCATAATAAATTTAAGACATTATACGCTTTGTGTGTGTGTGTGTGTGTGTGTGTGTGTGTGTATGTGTGTTGATGTTTGTACCTATGATACAAAAGAAATAGTGGATATTTCATTCCTGGGACCTTTGCATGAATCAAGGCAGTGGCATCAGACTATCCTATTAGTCTGTAATTTTTGCACTTATAGACTAAATAAAAAACTTCACTAAGGATTGACCTTAATGAACCAATTAAAATTATTACTGTTGTTAAATCTTGACCTTTGATCACATGTCTTTGAAACATTCTGCATGATTAAATGAGAAGAATGCAGAAAGCACTTTTGCTCTATACCTAGGTACAATGGTTGTCTCAAGGAAAAGTACTTTGTGATTGATTGAGTTGGAAGCTTAACTAGATACTCTTTCATGGAACACCATTTTTACTTGGAATTACAACTGAAAAACTAGCTATGATTATTCAGACTTAGGTTACTGAGAGACATTTTCTCAAAAATGAACAAAGTGAGCCTGTTGCTTAAAGGAAAACAACTGACAGCATTTATTGCCAACAACATAGTTCAGGGTTCAAACAATAATTAGAATTTGGAAAATTTGTATTTGCCCATGAGAAACATGATAAATTCCCAAATTTAAAGATTGTTCTGATGATAATAGTGGTGTATTGTTTTTATGTATGTAATGAAATGTGTCCATGTTTAGAAGAACTACATAACATACTAAACCAATATTTTCCAAATGGTTCATCGTATTATAAAGTTATGCCTAGGTGTAAAGGAAGCATATGAAAGAGCAATGAATTTTAATGTAGCAGAGTAAAATTTTATTATATTAAAAAAGAACATTTATTATATTAATGTTGAAAATTAATTTGATTTAAACATTAAAGTTCATGACTTCATTGATATGGTTCATAAAATGCATTAATAAAGTTTCAGATTTCACATGGCAACTAACCTTTAAGAAGCTATCACTTGTTGAATTTTGGGATGATATTAAAAAACAATAACCACAATTATCTGAAAAGGCTGTGACAGTGCTCTTTCTTTTTCCAACTACATATCCTTGTGAGGTCAGATTTGGTTGATCTACTTCAAAACAACATATTACAGTAGATAGAATATAGAAGCAAACATGAGAATACAGCTGTATTCTAATTAAGGCAAACATCAAAGAGATTTGCCAAAGATATAAAACCGTGCTACTCTTTTTAAATTTTTTTTTCACTTCAAAATCATTTTTTGAGTACAGTTGAAATGATGTTATAGTAGTTTCAGGTGTACAACATAACGATAAGATGAATACTACATTATTTTTATTGCAAGTATAGCTACTATCTGTCCTTATACATTCTTATTTACAATCATTGACTTTAAGTGATCGTATATTTCATTAAATATATGTTACTGTGCTAGCGTTAGAAAATCAACATTTTTCTACTATCATAAAGACTGGTTCAGGCAGGAATCATCACTGAATGCAAAATCTACAGGGAAATTTTGATGACGAGCAGGATGTTTTCCTGGTCATAAGGTCTCACCACATATTTTTATTAGTTACAAAGGAAACATAAAAAGTAATATTTAGCAGAGAAATTCAACACCACCTTGACCTGGTGCTCAAAGTTATCATTTTTGAGAAGCAGTTGGACAATATATACCTCCATATGTGACAGCCAGAGGAGGATAATGTTCTGAGAATGCATAGTCTAAATCAAACCATGATTGGCAGTTGACAATACCAAAATGAAAATAATTCTTTTTGAAGATAGACATGATGATATACTTCAGAACTGTCAGGTAATAAAAAACAAAAACTGTGGAAATATTCCAGAGTAAAGGAACTAAAGAGAGATGATAACTCAGTGCCATATCTGAACCTTGGCCAGATCCTGCACTGGAGGGAAAAAAAATCCTATAAAGGGCATAATTGAGTTAAATGGAGAAAATTAGAATATGGATGGTAAAGTATTGTTTCAGTGTGGCATTTGCTGAAGTTGATCACCATGCAGTGATTGTAAGAGAGTATTATAGTTCTTAGGTAATATATACTGAAATTTTAGAGGTAAAAAGGGCCTTCATGTTTGTAACTTACCTTCAAATAGTTCAGAAAAAAGATATAAATATAAACATGTATATTTATATATTTATTTGTGTGTTGATTAAATACGTGTATATGGGGCACTAGCATGGCTCAGTGGTTGAACATCAGCCTTGGCTCATGATCCCAGGGTCCTGGGATCGAGTCCCACATTGGGCTCCTCACAGGGAGCCTACTTTTCCCTCTGCCTGTGTCTCTGCCTCTCTCTCTCTGTGTTTCTCATGAATGAATAAAATAAAATCTTAACAAATGTGTATACACATACACAGACATGTATATATACATAGAACATGGATATGTATATATAATTGATTTTTAAAAAATATTTATGTATTTATTCATGAGATAGAGATAGAGAGAGGCAGAGACACAGGCAGAGGGAGAAGCAGGCTCCATGGAGGGAGCCTGATGTGGGACTCGATCCTGGGACTCCAGGATCATGCCCTGAGCTGAAGGCAGGCACTAAACCACTGAGCCACCCAGGGGTCCCCATAAATGATTTTTTAAGGGGTAAAATATTAATAATAGATGTATCTGGGTAATCTGGTATATGTGTTTTTAGTACTGTTCTTCAAATTTTCTGTAAGTTTTAGTTATTTCCAAATAAAAAGTTTAAAAATTAAATGCAACGGTTATGTTAATATAATGGGTTCATTATTGTTTTTAAATGAATTAATGTATGTTTAACATTTTTCTTAGTTTTGTTTCTCATAGAGCAAGCATGATTAGATCTAATCAATATGAACAAAACTTTTTGGGATCCTCCATAATTTTTAAGAATAACAAGGGGTTGTAAGACCACAGAGTTTGAGGACCATTGGTATAGACTGTGTGTAAGTAGTTATATATGTGTTCCCTCTTTCTTTTTTTTTTTTTTTAATATTCTTTTTTTTTTAAATTTTTATTTATTTACGATAGTCACACAGAGAGAGGGATAGAGAGAGAGGCAGAGACATAGGCAGAGGGAGAAGCAGGCTCCATGCACCGGGAGCCCGATGTGGGATTCGATCCCGGGTCTCCAGGATCGTGCCCTGGGCCAAAGGCAGGCGCCAAACCGCTGCGCCACCCAGGGATCCCATCCCTCTTTCTTTTAAGGCTATTTTATGACTCTAGTTAATGAGAGCTGATTTGGTAGACACCATTAATCTTTAATGCCTTTATGCCTTAGTTTTTATATTTTTAAAATATGAATATAGTAGTGCCTATTCCCAGAGGGTTACTGTAAGTTTTAAGTCAGATAGCTATATAAGGCTTTCAACTAATGACCACTTTATAGTGCTGTCCTGATTGGCAGCATGTGTTTCTTCTCTCTTCTTGCCTCTTTTTGACCCTTATTTTGTGCTTTGGCCAGTGATTTTGGTTATAAATATGGGCATATGAACCACCACAAAGAAACCAGAGGAGAGTATCAGTTCATAAAAGGCAAGTTTACAGTGGCCATGCCTCTTCAAAGAAATGAGTAGGGAAATGTAGAAGGGTGAAATTGAGCAAGCAATATGGGATTTTTAGAAGTCTCGGATATAAGAAAGAACATCATAAACTTAGGGAGTTGGACCAACAATTGTATGAAAAGTGGTTGATAGAAAATATGACGGGACAGGAAATATTTCTTCATTAGGGGCAAACTGTAACCCTACTTAGCAGTGTTTCTATGGCATTCCAAATTCCAGATAGGCATCCTCTGCTTAAATGTGTATGTGTATTTGGGTTATTTAAGTTGTTGTAATAATATATACTTAAGGTAAAGAAAGAATACTATTGTTTTGTGACATTTTTCACTGTTTTCTCCAGCCCTGTCCAAATTCAGCTGTATTCTTTATCTCTATCAAGCATCAAGCTAAGGAAAAAAGGAAAATTTGGTTGCTAAGCTATATTATGTTCACCTAATTGCAAATTATCATTTTTTTAAAAAGAGATCAAAGGATATGTAAATGTAAAGGCTTTATATCATTTTAATATGTCATTTATTATCTTTAAATCTTTTTTGCTAAGACTTGTGATTTATATTTTTAAACAGATCATCAGAAACTGGAAAGAGAAGCTAGAATCTGCCGTCTTCTGAAGCACCCCAATATTGGTAAGGAAATCTTTTCAACGTATGTTTTTTTTTCAATTTAAATTCAGTTAGCTTTACATGTAGTATACATCTTTGGTATGTATGTAGTTTTCAGTAATTCATTTTGAATGTTAAAGTTTATGTTATGTGTTTTTTAACCACAATAAAAATGTTATTTTAGTAATCTAGACATTGCTTCTCTTCCAAAAGCTAGTAAAGTTATTTTAGAATATTTTCCCCCATGAATTATAAATAGCATGATAATGTTCAAAATAAAAAAAATGATGAATATAAGAAAAATAGAAGAAACAAAGGAAAGAAAAAGAACAAAAACAAAACAAGAAGAGCCAAGAACATGATTCTGTGACAATAGTTTTGATTATTTTAGATAAATATTGCTTTCCCAGCCCTGTTTTATTGTCAGCCAAATTATTTATGATGTGGAAGTTGTGAAAGAAGGAGGGATAATGCAGTAGAATTGCAAAATCATTCACTAAGAAGGTTTATAGTTCTTCTATTTTTATGAATGGTGAGACCATTCAGTTTCTATTCCTGACTTGAAGTTTCTAGTCAGTTTCTATTCCTGACTTGAAGTTTCTAGTATCCTGCATACTTCTTAGGTTCTTAAACGAATGAACGGATACCACCAAGTAAATCTGAAGTATTAACAAACTAGCAGCTGTCTAATATCCTTCTGGTTGGAGAGAGAACCAAACAACTCTGAAATGTAAATCTACCTCTTTATAAATGTTTTTACCCTAATGACAGTCTTTGGCATTTCTTGGTTGGCTGTTGTATTTTTTTGCTAGGGCTGCCATAAAAACATATAACAGATTAGATGGCTTTAACAGAGAAATTTACTATCTCACAATTCTGTAAGCAAGAAATCTGAGATTAAGGTGTTAAGTGTTAACAGGGTTTGTTTCTTCTGAGACCTCTATCCTTATGTTGTAGATAGGTGTCTTCCCCCTGTGTCTTCAACTGGTCTTATCTCTGTTGTAATTTTTTCTTCTTATGAGAGCACCATCATATTGAATTAGGGTCCACCCTGATGACCTCATTTTAACTTAAATGTCCTTTCAAATACTTTATCTTCAAATACAGTAACTTTATGAGGCCCTGGGGTTGAGACACAAATTTTGGAGAGACACAATTCAGTGCATAATATTGGCTAATGAGAAATTACACAATATGACCCACTATAGTTCAAAGAGCACTGTTCTTACTCAGGTTTAAGATAAAATGAAATTTTTGTTTGGTTCACTTATTATTCTTCTGAAGAAGAGTTGTTATTTGTTTTGTTTTTAATCAAGATCTTTCTGTGAAACTCAGTTTTTGTAGATATTGAAACTAACTGTCCTCATTTCCTCTAGGACACCAAAGTCAGACATTCTAAAGACACTCAAACTAAAACAAGAACAATTTTCATTTTGAAACTCCATGCAGAATAACCTTAGTAACAAAGGGGAAGTTGTACAGTAGGGAAAGTTCTAAAGTTTTCTGACCTAGAAAGCACCATTAACACACTCTTGACACTACATAAATTTTTTTTCAATAGTCCATAGCATCAAGTTCCATGGCTCCTTGGTCTCCTCACTTGAAGTTTTATTCATCTTTCAAGATTTCAGAAGTACCAAAGCAATGATAGAAATTCCAGGTTCTTGAATTCTGAGATCCAGAGAAACAGAATCAGCCACTCATTAAAGTCAATAGACAGATTTTATTCAATATTATTTCATTAGGGGAAAGAGCTGAGCTCAGTTCCAAATATAGCAAAGACAACCAGGGATTTATAGCCAAAGAGAATGAAGGGGTCAGTGAATTGAAAATTGCTGAGAGGAGGTATCACACGTAGGGGAATTGTTACTGAACTTATTAAAATACCAATGAAATTCTTATTAAAGGAAGGCCAAAGCTTAGACATCAAGAGTCAGGGATGAAGAACTTGATCAGGTGTTGTGGTGATCACATATCAAAGATGGAAGGATGGCTTGGTAGGATTCTTTGCTAAGACTAGTATAGGCAGATTGAGTATAGAGTCCAATACAAGGTCTGGTTAAAAAGAAGACTCAAAGGAGCCTGACTAATTTTAGTCAAGGGGACAGTCTTTGTTGCTACATTAGAGTGGCTTGTCAGGCAAGATATGCAGGGGTCACATTTAAATTGATCTCTAAAAGATAAGAATCCATCATGAAAAAGTTCAGGGAGAAAGAGTTACAGTCAGAGTCAGCTTTCCCTGTTAGGGGAAGAGTCAGAGGATCAGTGTGTAGCCTACCATGAGAGAGAAAAAGAGAGACTGACCTGAGATGGGTCAGAAGGATAGGTAGATGCCTGACCATGGAGGGCCTTGGAAATCAGGTTATAGTGTTTAGGACTTATTCTAAGTACAATGGGAAGCCAACAGAAGGATCATAAGCAAGAGTGTCGTCATCTGATTTGTTGTGCCTACTGTGTATAAAATGGATTATAGTTACATGAGCACAATAAGAGATAATAGTACTCCATTAGTTCATTAGAGTCCAGTGTTTATATATATTGCCCTTGGCTCCCATCTTTTTGGTAAAAATTCAAATAGATTCAGGTTGACCTCTTTCCTGTGTGCTTAGGTAGTTCACAAAAAGTACCATTCATCTTTTGCTCAACAAACTGCCATGCAGGCAGCTTCCTAAGCAGCTCCATCTTTGCTCTGTCTTCAGAGTAGGTAGCCAAACAATCTTGTTTGAGTCCCAAACTGGAAAGATTACCACTAACCTTATTTGAAAGTGTTGAAGCAATTTGGAGAGAACATCTTGCCTCAAGCTTTTGTTAATTAGCTTGTTTTTTAATTGTTCATCCTTTATTTTAATAAAATGGGCTTATTTTCTCTTGAGGTCTAAACAGGTCTATGGTAAATCAAATAGTGTAAGCTATATGTTAGCATATCTACCAAGCAAAGGGAAAATACCTTGGAGGTAGCAAAATGACATACTTGAGGTAATAGCCAAATTGTTCTCAAAATTATTTGCTATTTCCATTGTTTTTGTACTTGATTTTTGATAAGCTTTATTACTGGGGAACTTATTGAAACCTGTGGCAAAGTCCAAATAACTCAAAGTAGTAAGGGGAAGCTAAATCAGGCAGCACACTCACTCACTGCAAGTAGGTGAATCTGAGAACAATGGGCCAGCAAGGGGAAAGGGAAAGCTATCAGGAACTTCGACCTGACTCCTCTGGGTTCCCAAGTGAGAAGATACCCACTTAGTCTTTATTTGTAAGGAAATCAATATTTGAGAGAACTTTTCAGTTGGCGTGATGATACATTTTGAGGCTGGGCTATACCCATTCTCTAAAGACCTGAATCTACACTTTGTGTAGACTTTAGAAAGAGCGAGATGGTTTTCTGAAAGTGTAAGGGAACATTTTTATTTGTAGAAGATCAATACCTCCTTTGTAAGGTAAGCCTTTCGTGATATGGCTCAATGAATCCCAGTAGCTAGAGAGCCAAAGGAAGGGCTATGTGGCCTTTAAAAATAAATAAATAAATAAAAAAAAAGAATCTAGTCTGTACCAGTGCCCTGGGACCCCTAGTACAATGAGTTAACTGTTCTGAGACCACATCATATCTTAATGATTATCATTTCCTATCAGTTTTCTCAGCCACTGCCCCAAAACACATAAACATATCCACTCCTACATTGTATAAGCTGTAACAGAAAATTAAAGACACAGTATTAATGGAAAAGTCTATAGACTCAGTGAACCCCACTTTATTCCGCCTCTGACACGTAGTCTGTTCAGTGAACTGCTGAAGCATATCCCATTTGCTCATTAATGTATAGTTGCTCTCTTTGTAAAGCAGAGAAAATATTTACCATTTTATTTCCTTCTGAGAATTATTAGGGAGAACTAGATAGTGCTTCTTTTTGGTGAGGAGTTAATAAACTTTGGATGTTACTTAATGTAAATAAACACACAAATGTATATATATATGAATAATACATGTTTCTGAAATGTTTTTCCACTGTTGAGTATATATATCTCAGGAAAAAGCTACCAGACATTATTAAACGATCAGTTAGGTAGTATATTGTATAAGTAATGCCCCATAATAATTTACTCAACTGTTTGCTTACACATATATTACATAATCAGAAAATCATAATATTTCAATAACCAAGATCTTACAGTTATCTAGTACAAATTTATTTTTTAATAATTGAGGAAACTAAAATTTACTGTATCTGTATGACTTCTCCAAAGTCACAGTTCTTTAGTGATGTTGTCAAGCCTAAATTCTTGATATTTCTGTAAAGAGGTACCGATGTTTGAGGGAGCCTGACTTGCAGCAACAAGATTGAAAAGGTAATCATATTCCCTTTCAAGGAGAATTTTGAAGTTGTGTTTGCTTCAACTCAACCCTCCCCCATATATGGGAAAAATATTTAAATTAGAAACTTCTAATACTAATACAAGAAAACTTTGTAAGTTTTGGAGAGCATAAGTAATACCTCTCTACTCTGATATGGAACTACGTATTTCATAAAGATACAGTGAACAGGTTTTTAATTTGACATCTATAATATGTAAAATTACATATGCTGAGAGATAGAGAATAGAAAATATATAAAGACTTTACCAGTTTCATTCTTCTGCATGTGGATGTCCAATTTTCCCAGCACCATTTATTGAAGAGACTGTCTTTCTTCTAGTGGATCGTCTTTCCTCCTTTATCGTATATTAGTTGAGCATAAAGTTCAGGGTCCACTTCTGGGTTCTCTGTTCTGTTCCATTGATCTATATGTCTGTTTTTGTGCCAGTACCACACTGTCTTGATGAACACAGCTTTGTAGTACAACCTGAAATCTGGCATTGTGATGCCCCCAGATATGGTTTTCTTTTTTTAAAATTCCCCTGGCTGTTTGGGGTCTTTTCTGATTCCACACAAATCTTAAAATAATTTGTTCTAAGTCTCTGAAGAAAGTCCATGGTATTTTGATAGGGATTGCATTATACGTGTAAATTGCCCTGGGTAACATTGACAT